ACCAAAAAGGCAAAAACAGCGTGGCCCGCCGTCTTGTCCCAGCGGCACCCGGCTTGGGGCCGTGGGGTGGCTGCGAGCGGAGCTCGTGGCCGGGGAAGGGGGTGCGTGCGAGTGTGGGGCATGGCCAGAGGTGGATGTCTGTGCTGGGAATCTCTCCTGCCCTGACTCAGGCTGTGGTCACCCCTTCAACTGCAGGCAAAAAAACGGGGTCTGTATCCCCGAGCCTCTTGGAGATGTGCAGAGCCCCTTCTTACCTCCGTCCAGGCTGCTGGGAGCTTCTAACGGTGTCTTCCAGCCCGTTCCCCCCCCTAAAATGCTTCTCTCGTTTCCCCCTCCTCTCCCCCCAGCCGCGGGGTACAGGACCCCTCAACACTCACGCTCACACGCACTCCCACCCACCGTACTCACATCTGGACGCACTTTCAAGTAGATCTTCTTCTCGTGGTTGTACCACAGCTGCTGGGGGGTCTTGGGTTTTTCAGGGACGTCGGATTTCTTGGCGTTCTGGATGAGATCCGGGTGATCTTCCCTTTACCCGGCAGGGAGGTGGGGAAGGGAGAGAGTTACTGAGGTGGAAGAAGAGCACCCCCTAAACCTCCCTGCTCAGGGGTAACTGTCACTGCAGGGCTGAGCCTCCACGGGCTTAGATACTGGGGGGGGGTTCTGAGCGTTTTAAGAGAGATTTGAGTCTGCCCCTCCTGGGGGAGCATCAGGCACGAGCATCCCCTTTAGTGCGCCGGGCTGGGCTGCATCCCTGGAGCGGCGGCGGGTCATTGGGAAACACCAGGAGCCACCTGGGTCACAGCAACCACGTTCAAAGGGAAGGTCTGGGGCGAACGGGGTGGTTGCTTCTGCTTTTAACAGTGCCGGTGGCAGGGCTCCTGTCCTCCCCCTGCAGACCCTAACCCCCAGAGCGTGGCTGATCTTCCGCTCTCTCCGCCTTGCTGAGTCTCCCAGCTGGAGAGATGCTCTCAGACACCTTTTCCTCGCTCTTTTATCGCAGCATCCCCCCTTCCCTCCTGCCTTCAAGCCTCAGCGCCCATCAGGGCTTCCCCTGTGAGCTACCCGCAGGAGGGGAGCCTGGGTCTGCCTGGAAGGGCCCGGGGAAACGCAGGGCAGGGGCTGCCCGCTCACCTGAACCTCGCCAGGTTCCTCTCAAACTCCTGCTTCTCTCGCTGGAAGTCCTGGATGTATTTCATCTGGGGACACAAAGCCACCAGGCGGGTGGAGAGGGACGTCAGCACCGGGGAACAGGCAGGCAGATACATCCCTGTCAACCCTACCGGCTCC